TCCTCCACCGTCGGCGGCTTAGGCAGCGCATTCAACGAGGCAGCGGGATTGAATGTCGCCGGAGAAGAAGCGTATCTCTGTCCCTGCATATTCAAGCGGTCCTGCGCATAGTGTCCTTCCTGGTACTGTTGTGGTGTTCCTGGATGCGACGGGGTGCCCCTTCGACTGGCTTCGTGGCTGCTGGGTTTCGGGGGAGGCGGGGGAGGAGTGTCCGGGTTAAGCGCTGGGTTCATGGCGAATGAAGGGACCTCCAGGAGGTAATGACTAGTAAGCTGACAGCTGGAAAGTACCTGAATAGGTGGGCAGACAGAGTGAGGACAGGCAGCAATTGGAGGGATTGGTCGAAGCCAAGAGCAGCACTGGCTGTGACGCCCGAAATGCGGGGAAGGCCGATCATCACGTGAGTGACTGGAGGGTGTTTACAAGCCTACGGATAGGAACTAGTACAGTGTGTGGAATATAGATGTGGGGGTTGTAAACGGATTAAGGTTTAATTCTTGGTCACATAAGGTAGTATGCTGCCTCACTTAGCTGCCCGTCATGCTCTGTTCGCGTGCGCTGGGAGCAGGTATAGCGCCCTTGTTCATGGAGTGCCGCCTAATAGAGGCATAATTCCTCCACGTACCAGGTTATAAATCAGAAGATCCTGTCTCCTGCTATGCTCGAAGTACCACCAGACACGGTATGATGGGTTTGTTCGAGCTGCAGGCCTAAGGTCCTAGACGCGATAATGCGAGACGTAAACGACCTCTCCGGAAGACCTCCGAAACCTCTATGCAGGAAGCTGGGTATCAGTGTTGCCAGAGGGCCGCAGTATACTGGCAATCTGCTATATTATGCTCCTTAGTCCGTCCTGCGGCGCACCTCACGCTCCTGGGTGTTGATACCGGAGCCCGAAATAGCATCCATGACCAACTGGCGCAGTTGGCTCTGCGTAGCTTCGCTGTGGAAATCCTCACGCGCGGCCAGCTCATCAATGCGCCGCTTGAACTCGGGGTCCACCTCGTCCATTCCCGCGCTAGCCTCCTGTTCCGACACCGTGCCCAGGTTCATCTGAATGTTCGGGGGAAGCGGCGGAGCCGGGTTTAGTGCGTCGCCAGCCGAGTCGGCCTCTGGCTCTGGCACGCCTGCGACTTGCCGCAGATAAGCAGCAATTTGCGGGAAAGAGCCATCGCTCTCAATAGTCTCATAGGCTGCGAGGCCCTCATCGTTTCTCTTGTTGTAGTCCACGCCCAGTTCCTCAACCAGGCATTTCGCAATGTCGAGGCTTTCCGTCACAAACAGGCAGGTTTCACCATCCTCGTCGAGCAGGTTGACGTCCACATTGTAGTCCTTCACAAGAGCGCGTAGCAGGTCGATGTGTCCGTAAGAAGCCGCAGCATGGAGTAATGAATATCCGTGCTCATCCTGGTTCGAGGCGATGGAGGGGTTGGACTGCAACAGCGTCAGGACGGCGCCCGGATTATCGGCGGCCAGAACGTAAGGGTTGGGTTGAGTCATAGCGCCGGTTTCACTAGTCGGAGAGGAAATATGAGTCAGTCCTGATAGTGTCTGGTGGCTTGTACAGATGGTGCCATACCTTGAGTCACACAATAATTTCAGATGAAGTGGTAATGGACGAGTGAAGGCAGGATGTGTTCAGTGAATTGAGATGGGCGGATGAAAGTGGCGCGGGCGGAAAAAAGCGCTTTTTCAAAAAAGGATCGCTGCCCCGCATCTTCGATAAGAAACTCCTACTTTGGGACCCCGAACGAGGCTGACGGTGACTCAACTTTCTACTCTCATTTTTCGTCGCGCGAGGCTGTATCTTAGCTCGGGATAAGCTTCTGATTGGGAAGGTCGAGCTTGCTCTGTTAAAACCTAAGGCAATTCCTCCCTGGCCATATCGACAACACACAGAGCGTGCCTTCTGCCTTCTCCCCCACCTCCTCCCGCATCCCGACCCTTGATTCCCTCGTTTCTACCGAGAGCAACACACGAATTGCGTACTTTTTTGGATTCGATACGCGTGAATCCGAGAGATCACAATGGTGCAGCAGGACGAGCGAGAAGTCGCCGAGCTGGTCACCAGCCTGGAGGCTGCCAGCAGGAAAGGCACAGCTCACGGGAAGAAGTCCGGGTTCAAGTGCAAGAAATCCACCTTTGACGTTGAAAAAGCAGACAAAATCAAGGTGCATTCGTGGAAATTCATGGACTGGGATTACAAACGCGACGATCTGCCGACCTATGCGCGAGGACTGTTCACCACCCAGAGGAAGGATGGCACTCAGGAGATTGCGGTTCGCGGATACGACAAGTTCTTCAATGTGGATGAGGTGAATGACACAAAGTGGAGGAATATTGAAATGAACACTAGGGGTCCCTACGAGCTCAGTGTGAAAGAGAACGGATGCATTATATTCATCTCTGGTCTTGAGGACGGCACTTTGTTGGTCTGCAGCAAGCATTCCACGGGTGTTCGTTCCGATACAAACCTCAGCCATGCTCAAGCTGGTGAGCGCTGGGTCGAGCGACATGTCACCTCTGTTGGAAAGAGTGTAAAGGACTTGGCACGAGAACTGCGCAGACTCAATGTCACCGCAGTAGGCGAGCTGTGTGATGACTCTTTTGAGGAGCATGTCCTTGCCTACGACGAAAGCGCTTCGGGTATCTATCTACATGGACTCAACTTCAACGTGCCCCAATTTGCCACGCAGCCTAGCTCAGAAGTACACAAATTCGCCGATGCGTGGGGCTTCAAGAAGGCCAACTTTGTTGTGTATGAAGACCTCGATCAGGTCAAGAAATTCCTCGACAACTGCGCTGAAACTGGCACCTGGGATGGCCGCGAGACCGAGGGGTTTGTGGTCCGATGCCACATGGGCGATAAAGGACGGGCGCCATACCGGGATTGGTTCTTTAAGTACAAGTTTGAAGAGCCCTACTTGATGTACAGACAGTGGCGCGAGTGCACAAAGGCAGTCATTGCAGGAAAGGTTCCTAACATCAAGAAGCACAAGAAGATCACTGAGGAGTATCTCCATTACGCGCGGAGACAGCTCGCGAAAACTCCTGGTCTCGCACAGCAGTACCAGCAGAACCACGGCATCATCTCTTTGAGAGAGGGTTTCTTGCAAGAGAGAGGCCTCAACGGATCTGAAATTATCCAAATGGAGTCTGACGAATCCGGCGATGTGACGCACGACGTGATTCTTGTCCCCATTGCTTCACTGGGCTGCGGCAAGACGACCGTGGCTTTGGCTCTCTGCAAGTTGTTTGGATGGGGACAGGTGCAGAACGATAACATTCCGAAGCAGAAGAACAAGCCAAAGAAATTCTCCTTGGACATTACTAATCTTCTGGCCCAACATCCTGTGGTAATAGCAGACCGGAACAACCACATGCGACGCGAACGGCAGCAACTCATAGAAGATGTGTCGGTTGTGATTCATAAAGCTCGCTATGTCGCGCTCCAGTACGTCCACGAGCCCAAAGGACAATTGCTTCCTGGAATCCGCGAGGTAACGCGGAGACGAGTCCTGGATCGGGGAGACAACCACCAAACCATCCGGGCGGGAAGCAAGAATCCAGAGGAGGTCATTGGAATCATGGAGGGTTTCCTGAACCGGTTCGAAGCTGTCGACACCGACCGTGAGCCAGACTGCTACTTCGACCAAGTCATTGACCTGGATGTCGGTGCTTCTTCGCGTGAGAATCTGGAGACAGTGGTGAAAGCGCTACACTCGTTCTATCCCAAGCTCGTGAAAGAGATTCCAACGACCGAGCAACTGGATGACGCCATCTACTGGTCGATGAACGAATACCAAGTGCAGCTGGACTGGAGCCATCAATATGGATCCCAGAAACCGAAGAACAAGAACAAGAATCAGAACCAAACCCATGGCAGCCCTGCACCCACAGCCGGTCCAACCCCCGAAGATCTGGCCAAGAAGATCGAGTACTTCAACATCTCCCTACCTCCTGCAGAGGTGAAAAATATCCTCGAGACTCTGTTTCCCCCATCTACAGACCCCGAAAAAGCACGTCTCTACAGACAGCTCACCAACAGCAGACGTGTACAGCCCACATTCCACGTGACATTGATCCACCGCGCCTCGAAGAAAGAACATCCCGGTATTTGGGACGAATACGTCCGCCAGTATATCGAGAAAATGAAGAGCAAGCCCGAGTCTGATCCCACCATCACCCCAACGCTGGCTCCGGCTCGCGTACGTCTTGAGCGTCTCATCTGGGACAACCGTCTCATGGCATTCGTAGCGCGGATATTCCCACCAGAGGACCAGAACCTGGCGGAATGGCCATGTGCAAACGAGACACCCCATGTCACTGTGGGAACTGCGTCGCCCGACGTGAAGCCCAAAGAGAGCAACGACCTGCTGAAGTGGTGGCATGAAGTTGGCTCCGGAGGAGAAACCGGACTTTGGGAGGCCGAGATCCCAGGTGTGAGGGTGGTAGAGGGGACAGTAGGTGTGGTGATGAGTCGGGGCAAATAAGTTAATGACTGATGACGACGAGTCATGAGTGATGATTGCAAGAGAAAAGTACATACTTAGTTATTATAGACATGAAGTCGCCTGGTTTGGCATCCAGTATCTATCCTTTGCTCTATTGGACGGAGTAGTATACTATCATATCGAATAACCAGTAGACAGACATCCGCTGTGGAAGTGGTGAAAACAAACGCAGAACCAAGGGCTAGTTAGATCATGACTTCCCCTTCACACTTGAGTTGTCTTGCACGTGTGTGTTCTATCTTCAAGTTTTAGAAGCTAAGTTCCCATTTTCTCATACATAATTTGTAGAAGTCTAAGAAAAACCACCAATGCAATCAATGAAAGGATAATGACTTATAGTTTATATTATATTAGTCTAGTACTTGTTCCATTTTTCTTTTCTTTTATTCTTCTCTCCCGGATGTCGTGAATATATATTGTTGAGACACTCATCACCACAATCGCTCCGACTAGCCAGCGATATGATATAAGTTCATTCTGACCTACTTACAAACTCTCAGTGACCGCTTCTTCAACACACATATCAAACTCATCCTCTCTACCCGCGCGCAGAACCTCCTTCATCCGCTCATACAACCCCATATCTTCCACCATCCATCTATTCCCACCAGGAAAGACCACCTTCCGCAAAGCGTTGACGCACGAAACAAGAGGCTTATAATACGTCGTGAAGTACTTATCAGCCCACCGCAGATAATCCACTTCAGTAAACACGAAGCCCTGTTTCATAACAGCCAGATCATCCGTATCGACAAAGATCCATCTGGCGAATATAGCAACAGTCCTTCTTCTTCCCTTACTACCCGGGGCTTCATAGTGGACACATATCCAAAAGATCACCCAGAAGAATGATTCGAGATCATGCATGAAGGAATGCCTTTCGCCCATGAGTGCGCCGATTGCCATGAAGGGTCTGGTCCCGGTCTTACTGCCGTTTGACTCTGGGGTAGGAATATCGCTTTGTTCTTTGATGGCGAGATCAAGGTCGATTACGAACGCTGGCCAGGATGGGTTGTTGTTGTTGTTCTCGTTAATTAGGAGGTTATTGAGTGAGATGTCCCGGTGTAGGATCCCTTTCTCGTGGAGAGATTGGTGTCCTGTTATGCATTGCTCTAATGCGGCGAGAAGGACTGAATGAGTGCTTGCCGTGTAGATTGGCTTGCCGTAGTCGCGCAGGATGACTCGGCGGTGGATACGGTTTGGGGACTTTTTGGATGTATCGTTAGGTGATGATAGGCGTGGGCGCTTTATAGGCGGCAAGATGGCACTGTCTTGGCTGGAGGGTCGCTCGATGTTTGGTCTATCGGTGCTCCGACCCTTATGCTGGGCATCAGCTACGCTGGCACCGGCTGAGGGCGCTTGTGCTTGCTCTGAGCGATGCAGGCTAGTCGCAGTTCTGATATTTAAACCACCCCGAATATTATAGCGAACATCATCTACCTTACCAGGGACGCAAACATTGCTATGGTGATAGTACCGTGCGACGTTGACCACCCCGGCGTTGGTAGCTTCCTGAAGAAGACTACCTTCTTCGTCGTGCTCCGTGTCTTGCCAGGAATCTTTTACTACGAGTGGAATCCCGGGGTCATCTTCACGATACGCTTTCCAGCATGTTGTTGCTCGACCTGCGATGCAGGGTGTCCGTTTTATCAACCGCTCGAGGAAAAGACGTTGGACCTGTCCTTCTTGCTCTATCTCGATGAAACGCCGGCCATCTTCTGTTATGATAATTGTGGGGTCAAACCCGTATTGCTCGCCACTCATCCATAGAAAGCCGAGAATGATGGACACAAATTGAAGACCATTCTCATTAATATCGAATCGATCCGATGCAACTCCTCCGAGACGATCAAAGGCCCATATCCTCATAAAGGATCCACATATGGTAAAACTCAAGACAAACCGACGGGTATCCTGGGCAGCAAGGACTTCTCTAGCGCACCTCCCCAGATCAAGCCATGTCTTCGCAGCGGTATCGGCTGCTGGATCACTCTTCAGCACTCCAGGTACGAGGATCTCCACCCAAAGACATTTGGTATTCTTTCCTGCATTGATTTCGCTAACGAATCCAATGTCCAGCTTGCGCTCTTCCGTAGAGCCTTGAATGGGTCTGTTAGGTCGGGCTACTGGCCTTCGTAGCTGCGCTGACTCGGGACAGTAGTCTTTGGAAAGGTTAGCAAGTTTATCATTTAGATCTGAGAACCAAGTCAAGACGTCTTCCTGGCTTGCATCTTTTGGCCAGCCCTCCCACCTATCAGCAACAAAAAGAGGATTTGTGCATTCCCTGCATCTTTGGAATACGGCCTGCGACGCTTCTTGCAGACCACGTACGCATCCAAAAAACGCGGCGTGAAATTGCGGGATTCCAACATACAAAGATCCAACCTCAGCCTTGAGAATTCGATCAATATATTGGCGGTGCTCGGAGAGGGTTGCAAAGCTGCTTGTATTGTGGATATGTTGGATTTGTTGGGAGGATGCACGGGTGTATTCAATGACTGCGTCATCGATACATTCCCAGATATCGTTATCTGGCGTGCAAGCAATAGCTGAAGCCAATATAAACTGTACAAGGGAGAGATCAAACGCTTCGGACAGTATTATTGCAGTCTTCAATTTCTGGATATTGTCCAGGGCAGCGGCGCGGCTATATCTGGGCGTTAACCCGCAGATCGCAGAGTGTTCCAGGTCCAGCAAGAGTTGAAGTGTGAGGCTTTGGATATCTGTGGAATTTAGCATAGACAATGAAAATTACTCAGGAATCACATCTCTTTACCTGTTCGTGAAAGATAGTTGAGCGCGTCTGACGTGCAGGAGAGGTCGTTTGCTTCACAGAGCGAATTAAACAGTCTGATGAAGTTCCAATTAAGAGCATTTTGCATGGTACTCTCGTCTACCGCTTTGATGCGGGCGTCGTCAGGCATGTTAGAACAGCTCCTGATGCTGCAGGTCTTTTCCTAGAGCGGGAAGATGTCGGTAGATGCGGGAGCTGGTAATTAACATTCATATATTGTACTCCGTGTTGTTGCTTGGCCCGCGATACATAGAATATAGTAATAACTGTTGAGACATATCCCTCAGTCTGCTCTTCTGATATTCTCTGAAAAGCTTTTGGGAGAAAGTGGAAGAAAGAGAGAAGGACATGTAGGCACCAGAAGTGGCTTCTAAATAGTCATGCAGGTGATATTCACTGTAGCCATGCTTTCATTATTTTCTGCTTCTTATTCAATTGAATCCTAATTCAATTGAATGAGCCAAGCTAGTATAGTATAGAGCACATATGAGACTCCAGAATGAGTCTAGTGAAAGGAATCAAGCCCGAATATAGATATGTGTAGCGGTGAGTGTAATAATATATAGAGGCAGGATATTTGAATATTATCAATCGTTAAGACATCCACTGTAGCCAGGCACTAGTACCTGATCTCTTAACCACCTCTTCCTCCTACGTGGCTTGACCTTACCGGCACCAACTGATGTCTTGAGATCCGGTTCGATAATTTATATACTAGGATACTTATTCTGTCAGGGAAACTTCAATTGCGTCAAGGAGCAGTCATTGTAGTAAAGGATGCGAGCAGCGCCGCTGATAGAGCATCGAGCCATACTCAGGAAGAGGAAAATTCGCTCCCCTCTCTATGAACTCTTTTCGGCTTCCCAGGAATCAACATATAGCTGTGATTTCCCGTCTTGACCAGCCGCGCCAAGATACGCGCCTGCTGCACACCTGTAGACGTTGCAATAAGATCGAGTATCTGCATAATCCAGTCCTTTGTGTGAGGCGATATACCCGCACAGTCCGAGGCAAGGTACAAAGGCCATGGCAATCGAGCGACAGCCCCAAGGGCAGCGTCGCCAGAAGTGAAAAAATACGGGACGCTAGCGCAGATGTCCTCCGCCAGTTGTTTATTGATGGCTATAGACTCGTGCATGAGTTGAGATGATTCAGGAATTTCTTGATGGAGACACATTGCTTGGATCATCTCGTGGAGAATGATGCGGGCTTGACGATAGTGGTTCCAGTACACTGCGTTGTCGATGTTTGGATATACGTGATACTCCGTGTCGTGGCTACGGAAGTGTGAGAATGCCAGTGGGGTATTGATGGTCGTATACTGCCAGGTTGGGCTTAGGGAAGTCGCCCATGAGACTAGGTCGGCGTCAAGATCGAGGGCTGCTTGGATTAAGGGTGCGATGTTTCCGCGGAAGCCAGTCGTGTTATATGTCTCCTTTATTGTTATGGAGAGATCGTTGTATGCGACTAAGATGTTGTAAAAGTCTTCCATTGTCTGAGAATCAGCATCACCAATGGATTTTGCATATTTTGATAATGCAGCTATTGTTGGCGAGCGGTGACAACTCGTTCTGAAGAATATGTTGATCATAGCCTGACAATGGTATGTTAACACTCTGAGTTTAGTGCCTATGATATGATTGAGGGATAGCTAACAATCTGTAGGCGTGTGCTGGCGAAGAGGCGCCGCCCAGCCGCTGATTCGAACTGCTTCACTCCTCGTAACTCAAGGAGCTTCAGCGCTCCGCGGGCGTGATTTAGCCAAGCGTCCATCATCTGGGATTGGCCTGAGATAATCTATTTAATAGGGATTAACAACCCACCTACAAGCACACAATGTAGCTAGACACATTACCTCGTACATACTCAGCGTGACGACAGCCCCCAAAGTGGAGTCCGAAGTAGCTAATACTGCATCCTGAAGACTCGTATTGGTGGCCCGCAAGGCTTTGCTGTACTCCTCTGCAGCCGATCGTGCCAATTCAGGCCGATGGTAGATCCTCGACATGCATGCCAGCCCTATGGCTTTCATGGTGGCTTGAAGTGCATCCGAGGGGTCAGTGCGCAGCAAATTCGGCAAATAGCAGAGAATGCCGGGGTTTTGACTAGTGCCGACATAATACTTGAAGATGTGAGACATGGCTTGTTCCTGAATGTGGGTGGTGGGCCCCTCGATCAATGGCGGTGTCTTCGAACTTTCTGCACTGTCTGCAGTGGGTGATCGAGCGGCCTTGTGGGTACTGGCAGCCCGGGCCAAGGCCTTGGTGGTTACAGCGGCCGTCTGATCAAAGAAGCGAAGAGCTTGGAGGTCTTGGTATCCGGGGCATTCTTTACCTATCCGCAGACATTGGGAGCACGCAGGTCGCTCCTGGTCGCACTACTATATGGTCAACAGTCAATCATCCAGGCGTGAAGGTGCACCGACGTACTTTTAGGCGCCGTTTCCGGCATGAAGCACACCCTGGACTGGGCTTTCCTCTGTAAACCATGGTCGCCTGAAAGGGTATGTGGCTCGGAAGGTGTAGCAAACCTTTGAAATCATCCCCGCTTTAAAGGCCCATGCTGAGTTGTCGGGGTCGGAGCTTGTTACGAAAAGGAGACTAGAAGCAGAGCAGTCCCGTCTTCAGCCTCGCTTCAGCCGCGTGGCATCGAAACTAGATCGGTTCCACTGAGCATCCATAGCTGGACGAAGCAAATGCTCCAATAAAATAGACATACATAGGTGTCAGATTGAGCTTAGAAATATTAGTGCCCGGCTCGAAGAAGCTTGCTTATTAGCAGATGCGGTTTAGATTGGCTTTATGCAAGGTAGACCTCCAATGTGATGAGTTTCTCTGTCATAGAGATTCTTCATTGCGGGTTAATATCGAGTCTAACCTAATGCAGTAACCTATTCGGTGCGCACGGCGCTCAGGTAAATAAGTATCATGAAGTAGTGTAGGCCAAAAATGACACTCCTTGCGCTTCAGATTTTGAAGTTTGACATTATTCAGCACCACACATGTATGTCCAAGCAGATAGTTTCTGTGTTTTCAGGGCTGGATTACTTGGTCGAAGCGCCACACTGCTAGTCATTCACACGCTCCCTCAAGAGGGGGGGGTAGATTGTTTCAACTGGATGGCTTGCAAAAAAGCCGTGGAGTTCCAGCCGTTCGTTCGATGTGATTCCACCGTCTTTTTGCAACTCAAATGCTAGGTAAGGCCATGACCGAGAGACCTATTCCTTCACAAACAGATAGAATCAATAATCATTACCTGCCTACCACTAGCCTCCTAGCATCAGCTCCTGTCCGAATGATACCAGGAAAACGAAGGATATTCTTCGGACGTGGTATCCTATTTTCGCGGGGTTCTCCCGGATATCTAAGGACCCCGGTGGCATCAAACATAGACTGGAGGCGCAAGTAATTCAATTCTGGCATCGTCGTAGACAGGAGCCGAAAGAACTCGTCATATTCACCGTCGATCGAAATGTAATCTAGTCTTATATATTCGAGCCTAGTGAGAGGATGGAAGAAGGCCAGAAGCGTGGCTTCGGACATGTGCAAATGACACAATGTGCACCTCTTCAGGATCGAAAAACGGCAAGACTCCTGTACTCGACGGAAGAAGTAGGTATTCTCTACCACTCCGGCTGTATCTTCAAAAGGGTCAGACTCCCATGACAAGTGCAACTCCTCTAGAGTTGGGGCACACAGATTCAGAAATTCAGACAGTGATCGGGTGCTTTCGCGGGCTTCCTCGTAGCTTGGTGGCAACTCAAAAAGTCTGTTTCGACTAAAGTTGAATTCCCGGACGCTCTCAGAATCGAACTTGTATATGTCGTGTGCCAAGCCTAGACGAATCTTCCTGCATGTGTGGAAGGTCGTCGCCAGCCTATTTAGATCCGCCGTGCTGCCGCCGTATAAAGCCTCTGGGAATTCGCTGATAGGAAAGCTACCATGTCCAACAGGACGGTGGTAAAACCCGTCTGCAAACCCATCCAATGACAAGACAGACAGCCCAGTGCTTCGAAGAGCTGACAGTGTGACCCGGAATACCCTGGCGGCGGCGTTTCTCTTGACACCTTCCCCAAGAATTCTGAGCGTTATTGATAACGGTTCATCGTGTGGGGAGTTATCACGTATGTTCTCGAACCCTTGTGCCAGTAACTCAATTATTCTGGGGTTAATGGGGAAGAGTTCTCCGGTATCTTCATCTTCAACGTATGATTGTGATGGAGGTGCATACAAAGTGAGATCCTGGACCCAAAGCCCGAACCGTCCTGGCTGGGTAATTCCAACAAACTGCTCAAGCGGGGCCTCCGCGACTTCCAATTTCTTGGAAAGGAAATAATTCCGAAATGCAGCATTAGACGATTTGACAGAGATGGTGCGTCCAGTCAGACGCAGAGCGCAGTGATCGTGGAAGTCTAGCCAAGCCACAATTTCCTCGATTAACTCCACCGGAAGACTTTCAAGAGTCACCGACGCCATGGCCGGAGAGCAGGCTGGCGCTATCCAGGTTCCACCGGGGGAAGGAAGAGGGTAGCAGGAGAAAGACCCCAGCAGGCACCTGGTGAGATTAAGTATGGTTCTTGAGAAGCTGGACTAGTGACTCTTGGCGGGTGCATCTAGGTGGTGGTTTATGTCGCTTTGGCGGAGTCATTGACGCTCGGGCCTGAGATATCAAGCTTTTGCCAAACGTGGATTGGCTGATTCGTGAGACATTACTTATCGCCATTGACCGGAGTTTATATTAGAAGATGGGACTGTATGGTCATGATATGAGGCGTGCGTCGGTTTTAGCCGCTGCCCTATTGTCGAGTAGTATGCTTTTAGGCTGCTGTCGAAAGAACTGGTTCAATGGTCTCCGTAGCGATTATGAAATTCGGTCGGTTAGTAGTGAGGTGCTTTCCAGCTCTGATACGCTGAGGATATCCGAACCCTCGTCGTAGCGGGCCTTAGCGTGGCAAGACCCTGAACTAGGCGATGCACTAGACAGCCTCGAGGTTACATCGAGGGGATATGATAGGAAAGCCGTATCCCAGCACATTCCTCTTTGGTGCCTGCGATACCTATCGCCAGATGTCATCATCTTTTATCATTTAAGCGTAGGATTAATTAGTCCGTTGGCACGCGCTGGACTTGTGAAATCCCTAGCAAATGGACCTAATACCTGGTGGGAGCAGTAGTTATATAATGACCGGGCATCACCTGCGCCCGAGGGCGCCGATCTTGATTACGCAGCAACCGCAAGTCCAAAATGTCTGGTCTTCTGGGGAGCCGTTCCTGGTGGCTTCCATCACCGGGAAGCCGAGGGTTTTGCTGTCTTTTCGTGTATCTTGCAGCTCTATGCACTCTTGCTCCAGTTGTTTACTCTGCCGTCGCTGTCGAACCTGGAGCATTCGGTCAATTATCCCAACTGGCAAATAATCCTCCTTTTCCCTTGGCCACGGCCAACGAAGACTCCGGGATGTTGTCACCGGTCACGAACTCGATGCAACTCGGTGAAGCAAAGGAGGATCAGGACGCCTTGCAAATGATGGCCTCGATGACCGCTGCGGCCAAGACAGACTCATCCTCAACCGTAACCTCAGTTGACGCAATGCAAAACGGCAACCTACGAGTAATGATTGTAGGAGACTCCATGTCCCAAGGAAAAGAAGGGGACTACACGTGGCGGTATCGAATTTGGGAATGGTTCCGGGCGCAAAACATTGCCGTCCAGTTGGTGGGCCCCTACACAGGGACCGCGCCGTCCGAACCGCAGGCCCACGGGGAGCTCCAGCACCAGACCCCGCTGGGCCAGCCCCCAACCAGCGGCGGGTACGCCCCTGACGTGTCCCCGGACTTTGATCGCCATCATTTCGCCGTGTGGGGCCGCGTGGCCGCCATCGACAAGGACTTGATCTATGATGTCCTCAATGCCCACCAAGCAGACTTGATGCTGCTGATGCTGGGGTTCAACGACATGGCCTGGTTCCAGAGTGATGCCTCCGGCACGCTGGACAGTATCCGTACCCTGGTCATCAATGCCCGCGCAGCCAATCCAAAACTCAAGTTCGCCATCGCCAATGTCCCCCAGCGCAGCCTTATCCCGGGTCGAGAGGATATTCCGTTCAATACCAATATCTATAATGCGTTGCTGCGTAATGCCATCTCAGAGTGGAGTACTGCAGATTCGCCCATTCATCTGGTCGAACTGCAGGAGAACTACGATTGTGGACCAGATGCATGTCCTGCCGGTTATGATGGACTGCATCCGAATCCTGTGGGAGAGTATCAGATCGCTCGCGCGTTCAGCCTTACTCTGGTGAAGGATTACGGGATTGGAAACTCTGCGTTAATCATTCCGGATAAGATTCCAGAGAGACCTCCTCAATCGTCGTTCAGTATCTAAGGGAGATATAGCAGGATCCTCCCTGTGCAATCCGAACTATTCTCATCAGCCCACCGACGTATATTTTGATCCAAGATTTAGTCTACAAAGCGTAGAATATATCAGCTAATCGGTAATATTGTATGCCATAGCCTTATCCATCACTGCCCCCCACTCCCTCTGTTCCTCAATCTAGACCATACAAATCAAAACAGCCACTCAAAACGAGGATATTGTTACGAACAGAAGAACCCCAGGATACTATTATGCACACTGATTCAATGGAAATAAAGTTCTGAAGATAGTATCTTATGGATGTCCTCCCCTTGCATGAGTGTTGTAAGATTTCCTCTTGACGAGTAGATCCCATCTGTGTCGAAGGGAATGAAGAGCAAGGGTAGACATTAGCAAATAGTTACGCAGCGGAAGCAGCGCTTGCTAATGAACCTCGGCAGTATCATCGCGGGTGTGGCTTACTTGGTCAGTTATAGAATTATCGTAGATCTTAACTCATTAGTGACTACATTCAAGCTACTTCATATGGCTTAGTCTATCTGAATATGGAATCGCTATTCCCACTGAGGGGAAGTGGAAGAACAGATTTTGCATACTAGACCCTATAATTCAATGTGTTTTGGATATGAGCAGGGACTAAAGGTATTTTATAATGAGCGATATTAAGGATATGAAAATCTACTACATCGTGTAGAGAACCTTACCAGGAATGTCTGGGATAATTGTTCAGCTACGTCGAGTGTCACATCTAATACCTCGATATCCCAGTTACCCAGTTATGAGTAAATCTTTACGGAGTCAACAAAGTAGTAGCTGTAATCCTTATACTCTTATCCGAGCTACCTACTGCGGCACTAGGTAAGCTGACAGGGCATGCAGCAAAGCAATCCGGTTATATGGAACCCTGAACCATATCTTGTTCCTTCACGGCTCCCTGGCGATAATGAAATAAGCCAAGGATTATGCAGTTTTTTGTGCCAGTATCTTGACCGGAGACCAGTTATATACCGTTCCCTTGCGCTCGGCGCAAAGACTTTGCAGTTCTGCCTCATGCTTGGTCACAAGAGGCACAATCACCTCCGCACATGTCAACTTAGTACCGCGCAATATCTCACCGAGAGCAAGAAGATATGTATCCGTGCATTTCTGGACAAGGAATTCCTGGAACGATTCTGTCTTGGATTCTATAACTTCCAGATGTGCTTCCTCCAGATCGCGAGGGAGTTTAGTGACCCAGCAGTAATAGTGTCAATGAGCCTTTGATACCCTCACGACTATCAAACAGTACTGAAGATAATAGCTAAAAGGGAGTAGATCTTACCTAAAGTCTAGACCAACCTTCTGAAATAGACACGGTATATGTTCTGCAAACTCAAGGGCCTTGGGCCCTTTTACCAGTTGGTGGATTAGATCTGCCTCCTCCCATTGGATGTAGCCTCCCGGCTCTAGTATATATTAGATAAACGTCGCCATCCTTGGGTGGTGAGTGCTACTTAGCAACTGTTGCAAATGTAACATCAGCGGCCCGGTGTTGCCATCTCGTATATTACTCGCCCACATCCGGACATGTACAACATCGTATTGCCCGACAAGTGTGGGAGGAACATGCTTGAAGGCGTCCAACAACGCTAGTTTGACGTTCCGTGGCCACATATGCTTCGGAGGATACTGATCCTCCGAGATATCGAAGCCATGCAGTTGCACGGTAGATGGCATCGATGGGGCTAGGTCGAAGAGCCATATCCTGTACTTTATTAGTGGATGTTCATATGCTGGGCTGGGCATGCATCGGAACCCGAACAGGATCGATCCATGCCCTCGAGTCAGGAAAAGACAATGAACTGCATTACCCATTGCCGGTGCCAATTTCCGCTATCTTCATGTCTGGAGTGATAGGAATGTGGGGGTGAAGCGTATATCCAGTGTGAAGCTTCCATAGAAGATGCTGAGCATCCAATCTAGAAACATAATGAGCAGGAGGTTACGATGTCAACACTGGCTCGCATCGAGAGCTTACCGAACCGAGTCCGATAGTCCTCTTCCAAGAGGATATAGATCAGAGTCAGCCATTGCCGTTGAAGTAAGTAGTAGTGTATCTGGTATTCACTTTCTCTAACAGAGTGTTCAACATGAGCATAACAGAAACTGAAGATGGAGGAACTGACCGGTATAAATGTCCATCGACATTCCTCCTATGCAAAGTTGGGATCCTCAATCAGGGAAACACCGTCACCTGGGCCAACATTACTTGTGTCTTCGCCATTGAAGTTCTATGTCGCGCTTAAAGAAATTGTAACAGACCAATCATGTACCAAGATCCCTTGCGTGAATGTACGACAACGCCTTGGGGTACCCCTACTTGAATGATCGACCTTTGATTGTGAAGAATTACTCATCATTTTCCAACAGATCAGAGAAAGCTTAATCGTAAGGGCAAAGTTTTCCTGTTACTAGCATTGTCTGTCTCTTCCGTTTGTCTCCAACCTGGATAACAGCATGATACGGCTCGACATAAAAGTGCCGATACGTTTGACAGCAAGTACATAAGGGGTTTATTTTGTACCATCAACAATCATCACGCCCAACCGGTGTACTGCTTACCATGATGCTGGAAGAAATCTAAGTCCACCACTCCTGGGCCCTAAAGCGAGGTTACACAGATCTCAAGCCGAGCCGCTCCCTACACGCTGCCGACTGCGGTGAAATGGCCGTGACTACGTCTATATGTCATTACATTCTCTAATGGTCGTACTATGCGCGCCTTCCAGGCCAATTTCCAACTACATTTAGCTGCATTACGTATTCGCGATGCTTGGATCGTCCTGTCCGATCTTTAGCAAAACTGTCTGTACCTCAATCATGTCTGTGTCCTCGACATGGAAGTTTGAAGAATATCATTTGGCCCAATAGAGGAAGTTGACGTCAATAGAAAGGAGATCCTATTCTTCCTTGGTTCAAGGAACAATGGAGCTAGTAACAGTGGTATGTCACACAGCCTTAGGAATCCAGCTCGCTAGCGGCCTTTACTGAGCGGCCTCGTTATTTTTGAACGGCGATTAGCCCGCAAACTTCCCCTAAAGGATCATTCTGCAGATGAAGGACATGGAGTCATGAGATATTGTGATAGTCGCATACCATCC